TTTGATGAAGCTGACTCATAATGGACGCTTATGGTTTTTTACTCTCAGGTCTGCGCTTTGACACCCGCTACATGACTTTCAGAGTGAGAGCGTGTAACAAGGCTGTGGCAGGAGAGTTCTCCGAGCCGGTCACACTAGAAACCCACGGTGAGAATACAAGACGTAAAGCAGACTCATTCACAGTGGGACGTGGCTATTTAGGGTGTTTTACTAGTTTTAATGAGATAAGAATGTATGAAGACTCTGGGGGGGGGGGTGTCTTTGTCGAGAGGAATGTGAATATTGGATTGTGTGAGATATAATATACCATTTTTCAGTGTGTTAATAAAAAGTCTGCCACTTTTTCTTTTTTCAGCCTTCACCTTCAAACTGGATTCTACTTCAGCTCACCAGAACCTGAAGGTGGAGGACTTGAGTGTGGAGTGGGACAGCAGCGGAGGAAAGATACAGGACATCCGCAAGGAGAAGAACCGCACCAACTCCCCGATGCACTCTCCAGCCAGGTTTGTATAAATGTGAACTGCAAAAAAAAGCATGTGACTATAAACAGGGGTCTAAAAAAAAAAAAAAACACATAAGGCCTGTGGTCATGTCACTTACTGTCATTATGAATACATCTCAGAAATATAATTCGTTGACAGTCTCTACCATCTCTCTGTCTATGATCAGGTCAGCCCTGATGTCTCCTAAGAGAGCACCGACAGCCCGTCCAGGCAGAGACAGGTTTACAGCAGAGTCTTACACAGTGCTGGGTAAGAATACACTCGAGGTACAAGTAAAACTCAGACTGGAGTTACAGCTGTACATTTATTTGAAGCAGAGCTATTCTGAAAGTATAAATTATTTCACTGCTCGAGGTTTGATTTCACTGGGTGGAGCAAAATAACTAGAGTGTAAATTGTTGAGTAACACTAAACATTCAGATCTGAGTTAAAAGGGGAAAAGGTTAAGTGATACCTTTTTTAAAATGTTATGTAACCACAACTCTCAGCCTACTCAATATTAATACTGCAACTATAAAAATGAATCATCTTGGCTTATGTCTTACTACAGCTGACACCATGATTGACGCTGGCCAGCAGTACTGGGAAGTGCGGTTTGACAAAGAAAGCAAGGCGTTTGCTGTCGGAGTAGCCCTGCGGAGCCTCGGCCGATTTGACCAGCTGGGGAAAAGCAGCGCCTCCTGGTGCATCCACCTGAACAACTGGCTGCAGCAGAGCCTCACAGCCAAGCACAACAACAAGGCTCGAACACTGGACTGTCCGATCCCAAGCAGTATAGGAGTCTACGTCAACTATGAAGAAGGTAAGATATTCACATTAACATTACTTCTGAGCTCTTGAAATGGACAATTTCCACTGTTTTTATAATAAACTAAATGATTAATTGATTATTTAAGAAAATAATTGGCAGATAAATCAACAATAAAAAACACATCAGTTGCAGCCCTACTTTAATATAGTAAATATGTGTGATTTGCCTTCTTTATTTTCTCCAGGTGTACTGTCTTTCTACAACGCCAAAACCAAGCAGCTGATGCACACCTTCAAAACCAAGTTCCAGCAGCCACTTATACCAGCTTTCATGGTGAGAAATGTCTCTTTAAAAATGTCTGTCATCTAAAGGAGTGTACTGTGACCTTTCTGTTTATGAACTGGCTGTCAATGTGCTGCCCCCTGCAGGTGTGGAATGGCAGTTTCTCAGTAGTGACAGGCCTGCAGGTTCCCAGTGTAGTGCAAAGCGGCCAGAGGAAGAACAGCGGCACCAGCAGCTCCAACGCCAGCCTCACCTAGATCCATCCACCTAATAGAGCTGGACGCTTGCCAGCTCTGCCTGATCGCAGTCACCCGCTGCAGAATCTCCTCTGCCCTGACTGCGGTCAAAGCCATCATGGAAGAGTTACATCACTAGAGTATGATGGTTCAGCTTGTTCCTCACGTCTGTGTTGCATGACAACAAAAAATGGTTTTGGGAACATGTGAGTCATCAGCGCCCTCAGTGACAGAATTCTTCAGATGTATGACTCTGGCTGTTGTGATTGCTTGGGACACGTTAGGTGTAGTCTTGCTAGTTTTCCTCTCTCTACACATTCATTTAGCACTGTCCCACTGCTGCTAGAGCAAAGATTTAGCGCTGGCCGCTGCCCTTCCTTCCTTCCTTCCTTTCCATCACCAAAACTGTCAGCCGTACTGTCATGCAGATCAGCTGCAGGTGCAGGGTCAAGCCCTGTACTGTCCGCACTCTCCCTGTGCCTTCCTTGTCATTTCCAACCTGATTGGCTAAATCGGGTGATCAGTACCAACATGCGAATATTTCACAGCAAGAAATGGTCTCACTATTTCAATTTAAAACAATGTATTGTGTCAGTGTCAGTATAACCTGGTTGTATCGTAGCTTAGTGGTAATTATCACCTACTGAATCTGCCTCTATTCATCAACCAACCTATCTAACCAAAATAACAACTTGCTCCTAGTGCTACAGTGCTACTCAATAGAATGTAGTTTATTACTGAATCAGGATTTATTAAACTCTACTTTGCCAGTGGCTCATGGCTCATAACAAATGAACAGCACATATTAGGGGTGTTGTATTTGAATTCTTGGGCATGCAGACTTAACAGTGTTTTCACTTTGTAGTCAGGACCTACAATCTGCGTGCAAGAAACTGGGTCCTTTAGCCTCCTGCTGAGGTTCTGTTAGTTTTACATTAGAGTCAGTGTTGGGCTTCATCTGACAGCCAGACTCTGCACAGAGAGAGGAAGTTTTCCTCAATTTAACGTCTTGTAGTGGAGTCATAGAGCCTTCAGACATGGCTTCAGGATTTTGGAAATGACTGTACTGTATACATTTTATTCACCTGACTGCACCCTAATGCTTGTATGTATAGTATGTATGTGTCCTATACCTAATAACGCCACTTAATTTGCTGCAGAGAGATCCTGTTATGAGTAGTGGGCTGTCTGTAGTCCAAATATAACAAATAGCTAGCCAGTAGCTCCAGCTAACAAACTGTGGTGTGAGAGTTAGGCAGGTTTTGGATCCACCTGGGTGAGAAACAAAAGTGAACTCTGGAAACTGTTTACTGGTGTTATGAAGTCCTTATTTGTGCACCACTCGACCTCTGAGTAGCATCCTTGTCATACATTACACATGGTAACAGTCTTGCTTTGCCATGTTGCTTCCTCTGAATGCATCTCCTGAATAACTGTAGCCTGCAATGCTTTAAAGAAGCTTCCAGCTGAGAATTATGTTAACTTTATTTCACATGCTGACAAAATGTCACAATTTATTGTAAATAGTTTAATTTTTCCACTATAATGTATCAGTCATTGAGGTAATAAAGGAGTGAGAGCACTTTGTTCATGGATGTCATTTACAACAAGTGTAAAAAAAAAAAAAAAAAGTGCAACAAAAAATACATGCACAGAACATCATAAAATAGATAGACTGGTTATTTCTAAGTTCTGCATTGAACATACTTAAAGTCACTTGTTCATGGGTCTGATTTGAAGAATCAAAGTAATCAAAGATACTAAAGTGAATTTCACTTCGCTGAAAAACTAATACATATATATATATATATATATATATATATATACAGTGACGGCTGGTTGTAATATTGGATGGATGGGGTAACGATGCATTATACTCATCAATAGTTCACGCTTGAATCTAACCCTAACAGCATCACTTCCGAGATACCTAGTTACAGCAGCAACAGTGTTTTACAATAATAATTAAAAAAAACAGCTATATAAAGTATATACAAATAGTGCGCGCGATATTTCATCAGCCAGTTTTTGTTCATAAACAGTTAACATACAATCAAGTAACTCGTTTTAGCTAGTCTTAGACGTGCACTTAGCAATTTGTGTGTTTGACAGATGATCAGCTAACTGGCTTTCTAAAAAAAAAAGTCAACTGGTCAAAGAGGTCCAGAAAAAAGTGAAGTCTGAGAGTCGTCAGACCCCAGCAGAGCTAGCTCGCGTGCCCCACAAAATGTATTAGCCCACAATCCAAAGCTAGCGAATGCCTGTTTTTCTTAACCAGATGGCCCTCATCGAGTTGTTGTTAACTTTTCCCAACACTGAAAGCTTTATGCAATTTAACAATGTGACTTGTGCTACACTCATGTTTCCTAATTTTGTCAGATAAATGTTTCAAGTCCACAATTCCTTGTTGGGTCCAAGCCGTGTGTCCTCCAAAGAGCAAGCATGGGAAACAGAAAGGTGAATTCTTAGCTACACTTGCCGTTAGCCAGTCCTTTACGTTGGTACCAAGTAATTTAAAACTTACGATTTTGTCGTTTGTCTTTTTGTGTTATTTGAAGATCGTTTGGACGATGTGCCCCCAGTCTCTTCAATTCCAATGTTTCCTCCGAAGACATTGAAGAAAATGGATGAGAAAGTAAACAATCCACTTCGTTCATGCTAACAACCGCCATTGCCACGGTCACGCGCCTCTCCCTCGCCACTCTACAGCAGGTGCTACAGAAGCCCCTCGCTGTGCCGTCATTGGTCAAAAGCCTGTGGCCTGTGGTCTCAATGAATTTAAGCCAAATCATCAGTAAATCAAACGGGCCGTGCCACGACAGTTGACACTACGAAGATAAATTGTAGTTGATGTTAATGTGTTTGGGCTGTAAAAATAAGCCCGTTCAAATATATCCCGTGTTTTTCTTGTGACTTTGATGCTTTTCCTGCTCTAGTGTCCACCAAAATAAGAAAACAATCTGTTCTTATGTTTTCTTTGTTGTTGTTGTTTTTTTTGTTTTTTTTTTTTACAATTTCTCATCTTTTTTTTCTCCCAAAAGATAAGGGAGGGCCCTGTTAGCCCATTTATACCAGCAGTCCCTGTAGTGTGTATATATATACACACGCACACGCACACGCACACACACACACACACACACACACACCTGTAAAGGCAGAGCATACTCACTAGATGCATTTAAAAAATATATAAAATTATACAATTGAAAATGACAAATTGGACAAAAACAACACTGATATAGAAAATTGATTAAGAAAATGCACACCACTGTCAACGGTAAATGTGCAAAATGTACAAGAGACACAGTGAAGATAAAGTGACACGTACATCCCTCTTTACAGTCGATTAATGCGCTAATGAGTGTAAGACAAGATTCAATCAATAAAGCGTTAATCTTCAGAGTGGCTTTACTGCTGACCAGCAGCCAGTGAAGAGGAGGAGCAGAGCATCGACTCAGAGGAGGAAGAGGTTGTTCATGTAGAAACAGCTTATCTCTGTTCCCGTGCGTTGGTTCGTTTTGCAGGGACAGACTGGGAGGTTGGCTCTGCACTGGTGCGAGTCAGCTGCTGAGGCACTGTTTCACAGATGGTGACAGCTTTAAGAGACTCCCACTAGGAGAGGTCACTGTTCACACTTTGCCTTTTGTTCCAACTTTAGTTTGAGCTCTGTTATTGCTGTGAGAGGGAATAGAGCATATCAGACTGTCGATGAGCTTCAGTATTATGGCAAGAAAGTAAAATGACATAACAGGAAAATATGAATTGAGAACACAAATTTATCTGCACAACTTACTGTCTAAAGAAGGTAAAGGTCTACATGTGGACTTACTCTGTGCTAGAGGGTCTGAGTGGGTTCTCAGTCTCAGCTCAGACTTTGTGGAGGAGGCAGAGGACAAGGGTGATGTACTGAGGGTCAATTTGCGAGGAGCAGGAGTTGGAGGCAGGGTTGCTTTCTTTGGAGTTTTCTTATCTAGCTCTAAATGACATAAAAAAGAACATTAAAAATGAAGCCGTGCAGCAGGTAAAGGGAGTATTCTGAGATGGAAAGCTCAGACAGACGGACTCACGTGACGTGGCTGAGGAATCCTCCGACTCTATGTCTTTCTCCACTGTTTGAACACAGACATTAGTTAGTAGCAGCCATGGAAAAAATGAAGTCCTACCTGTTTCAGTTTTGCAAGACAGAAGATCAAATGTCAGGAATGTCAGATTGGCTGATTGATAGGACTGGTAGAATTACTCACTCATTTCATATAGACACGAATCCTCTTCTATAACTGGTGCTGGTACTGGTTCAGGAGTCGGTATTCTTGGAGCAACTGCATAACAAATTAAAGGGTTGAAAATACAATAACAGAGGTAAACAACAACTGCTTGTCACAGTGCCCAGCACAGCAGGCTGCCCAGAAACCAACGCAAGCAGTAATGCTCAGCTGGTCTGTCAGATCGGTTGATCCACCACTTTGGTTTAACTAGTCAGGACCAGTAAACCCAAGCAACGTGTGAAGAGAGGTCTTAAGCAGACAATGCATTGTTTTAAGGGGCCACAAGCCCAGACATTCAGTCTTTGTTTGCTTGAGTCCAAACCAGAAATAAAAACCCAAAGAATTTCTACCTGTCTGTGTCTGACATAGAAGCAAGCAAACCATGAGTGATTGTGTGGGTGTGGGTAAGAGGACAAACAATGCAACTCCGTCTCTACACGATAACTAAACTCACCAACCACTTAAGATACAGTATTGCTTTTCTCTTAAGCACGTGAACTCAGTTTATAACATAAAATAGAAGATTATACAACATCTTATCACTTGTCTTAAGATTCATTGTTATAGGTTTATATTATGACACTGTGACCTGAGAAAGGGTCTGGCAAAACAGTGCAAATAATTTTAGTGGTTGAATGTTTGTGTGTTCTTGTATTAATTGACAGAGTACCTGGTTTGGGAGGCACACTTGGTGGGACAAGGTTTGACGGAGCATGCTGAACACTTCTCTCTCCATTTTCATTATCAGACCAAATGAAAGCTGTAAAGGAAAAAAAAAGAAAAAAAGTCACAACTTACATAGGTCTTGTGGAGAACAAGGGATGAAAATGCTTCAGTTTTTGTACATACAGATGTTTTTTTCATACGGCTCCTCGATGATGAGAGGAATCAGAACCCCGTCAGTTTTCTCGACTAAATAGTTGATCACATCATGCAGTGTGGTGCAGGGGACCTGCAGAGGGAGGGAGCAGCCTGTTTTTAATTACAGGTGAACGATCCAATAAATAAAACAGGTTGTTGATATTAATAGCACTACATAGTTCAAATGACACGATAACCACAATATAAGTATTTACATTCTTTTAACCTTCATCACAGTTTGAACTTGAGTTTAATTACTGATGTGAGTCATTAGTGCCAACACGGAAATCAGGTGTAAAAACAACTTACCAGTGTGCGTGCACACACGCACACACACACTGAACACATGCATCATTTCATGCCAGCAGTGAGTCATGACAGTCATTATTAAAGCCACTTCATGTGACGTATCATCTTTATTGCACCCTTGTGTTTACTGGTAATCACCCTCCTCTTTTCCAGGAGGTCACATAATAAATTTAATCTAAGTCTCACTTCAGCCTCCAATAAAACCTCACAAAAGTTTGGATTCTCAGCAGAATTTATCAAGTAGTAAAAAAGGCAATGTCAGTTTACTTTATTGTTAGTTTTAAGGACAACAGTTTAATATGACAGATACAGTATATCTAACAGACTAACACTGCAGAGACCAGAAGTCTTTTATCTGTGGCTCACACTGTATAAAGTACCTTAAGCTTAACCAGATGTTTTAATACTTACAGGATTGTCCACATCAATGGCGAAGCCCCCTTCATGTTTACGATTCACACGGTAGTGTTTGAATATAGAGCTGATAGAGAAGAAGAGGCAACCAGAAGACACAAATGAACACAACAACACTTTATAGTGTGTGTGTGTGTGTGTGTGTGTGTGTGTGTATGTGTGTGTGTCAGTGTGTGTGTTTGTGTGTCAGTGTGTGTGTCAGTGTGTGTGTGTGTGTACCCCTCATGGTCTTGTCTGGTGGTGACAGCAAAGGTCCCGTCATTTCGAGGCCTCAGGAGCAGGTTTCCTCTCTTGGCCTCTTTCTCAAGCAGCAGCTCTGCCTCCAGACGGGACACGACGTGGTAACAACTGCAGATGATACAGAAGGAAAAACGTCATTCATCTAACACTGAGTTCATTAAAAAGTGTCACATCAGACCACACATGTATGTACATGAACTAGGAAAGTGTGAAGTTTTGTCTGAGATTCAAGGTAGCAAAGACCGTGCTGTGCTCTCAGCCTGTAGATTTGTTTTTTTAATTCTGAAAGCTGCTGATACCGTCAATCAGCCAATAAGACATGAAATTAAAAACAGAATACATAAAGAGCATTTCATAAAATGTATTTTTGGCTGAAAACCTAAAAATCCCCACACGTGCAGATACAGTAGCTCTGCCTGGTCAGTAATGCTATGAAAACTTTATAAACTGTTGTAACAAGTGAACTGTAAAGGTGCAGAGACCCAGATGCATGTGTCCACTCTGTCTAGAAAAGTTTGGGAATTTGGTAAAACCACTGAAAAAAAATCACAAATTTTCATAAGAAATCAGTCATTCCTTTCTTTTCTTTTTTTACCAGTATTCTTACATTATGTCTTTTTTGTCCTGATGCTGTTCATATTGTCGTCTTTTACCTATTTTAGAGTTACAGAATTTAGGAAAAGCACATGGGAAAGAATCATTAAACACTGAAATTCTGCCAGACCACTCAAGACCCTTTTCATTTCAAAATGCTCTTTCTTAAATTTTAATTTTGGTCACATTTTTTGTATCTTGGCGTCGGCCCTTTACATTGGCCAATATCAATACTTCCGTGTCTCGTCAGTACTCACGCTGGCATGTCTGCTTGGAGGCTGATGTAGGGACTGGAGGTGTCAGCAGGTGGAGGGACATTTTTTAGTCTTTCCTTCTCCTTTTCTACTGCCTCTTTGAGCATGTGGATCTGACCCGGGAGCAGGTTGAGGGAGGAGGGTACCGACAGCTGCAGGGAGACACACAGGTTCTCCTTTAATTTATTTGTGCAAATGGACTGAAATCATCAGCATCTGGCCAGATTTTCATGCATCTAAACATCAGTGTCTCATGACACTCAAACTTTAAACATTTAAAGTTTTATAAGATAATAAAATGTGAGATAAATGTTATACTCCACAGACCTCAGACACAGAGAGGATATAGCCCTTCCACAGCTCACGAGCTTCTGTATTAGGGATCTGGAGAGACATCGGAGGAGAGAAAAACTGTGAAATAGGAGGAATTACTTTGAAAAAAAAGAGAGGACGACTTACATATTTTCTATATATTCCCCTCACAGTGAATTTGACATTTCCATCTTTCATCTTGAGGTTGAGTCTGGCTGCATCTAATTTACGATCCTGGCTGCCGTCGTCTGTTACTGAGATCAATCCGCTGAGTTCCAGTTTCTCTATGTACTGATGAAACACACACACATAGAGTCCCAAGTGTTGGCTTGATCAAGAATTTCTTTTGAGGAATAATCATCCAAATGTGTGTAATTTATTAGACCGAATAACTTACATTAGTGTCTCTCTTCTCATTGAAGAAGAAAAGCGTGTTGCCACACAAGCAGGTCCACAGTTTCCGGGATGTCTGCACAAACACAAAAAATAGAAACAAACTGACTGAAAGACGGCACACCGAGCACAGAAAACAGGAAAAAACACTTGATTTGAGTTGATGAGTCAGGTGCTTGTAACCACAACTGAAATCAATGTGTGCTTGTCCTGGAAGAAGTGTTTCTGTGTCACCGGATTCATTTGTGTGTAGGCTTGTAAAATGGGACTTTTGGATGATTCAAAGTCTAGGATCTCTTTTGTCTGGTTCAGGGCTAAAGGTGTCACCGACGCTGTGTGTTACAAGTAGTAGCTGAACTCAAAACAGCTTAAAAGTATTGGACTGTAAAATTGCTAAGTTTGCAAAGAGGGGAATCCCAAATTAGTGCCAAACAAACCCCTGATGTAACTGAGCACCCCTGCTCATCTTGGATATGCCTGAGGTGTCCCAGGTAAAACATTTCCCCCATGCTCTCACATGGTTTCAGGTGAGTGTGTACAGTCTCTTATCGGTGAGGGCTTGGCAGAACAGCCCACAGGATTTATTATTTGCAAAGCCTGCCACACCAGTTTGCGTCTATACTTTTCTCTCAGCTTCTCACGCTAATCTTTATGGCACAAAGAGCTGAGAGGCAGTCAGACCAGTTAGACAGACGCAAATTTTCTGCTGGAAAACTCAGGTCAAAGTCCACATTACTAACAGGTAACTATGCGACATTGTATGACCAAATGACAGGCGGCTCCGCCCACGGAAAACAACACTTAACCTGTCTTTATCTGGCTGTTCTACCTGGGGCTGTGTTTGAAGTGTGCTGCTAAACCACTGCACTAAACTATTAAGCATGTAATTACATTGCAGTTATATCAAGCACGTGCTAGTGTAGGTGAATGAAAAGTTAAACTTCTCGTAAAAAGTGGTCAACCATGTTACAGCAGAGCTCCTCTTCACAACATCATAGATCAATTCATAGATCAATTTATCGCTCAAATAGGTGCTGAAAGGCTCTGACATTTAAAACATATTAAAGTTGGTGAACTTCAATTCAATGAATCATGTTTCTGTCTATGTCTCTCTGTCTCTCTCTCACACACACACACACACACAGAGAGAGAGAGAGAGAGAGAGAGAGAGAGAGAAACAACAACAACAACAACAATCAGTATTTTATCAATCATTTAAGTCACTTCTCAAGGAACATTTTCTCAATCCAGCCTCTCAATTTAGAGGATTTGCTGCTGTTGTTTTTCTCATGAGATGGTAAATTAAACATCTTTTAGTGTTGCTTGACGAAAGAATCAATCTGACGCTGTCAACTAGGGTTTCTTCATTAATCGTTTAATTAATATCAGTGTGCAATATACCTGTCTGTAAATTATGATTATGAATTAAGTTATTATAATCATAGTATTCTTATATTCTCGAGCCAGATGTAATGCAATTTCATTCTGCTGTGCACTTGTCCTTGTGTAAAGTTTGAATGACAATAAAAATCTATCTATCTATCTATCTATCTATCTATCTATCTATCTATCTATCTATCTATCTATCTATTTAGGAAATTGACAGATAAAATGACTGTGAAAATAATAGAATAATTGTTAGATGCAGACCCAGAGTCAATAAGCCATACAATCTTTGACCGTCTCTAACAAGTTACCTTATCTTTGAACGACCTCTTCTCCAGGTATCCCTCATAGTAACAGCTCGGCAGCTGGCTCCCCTGTCGCGCGGGTCGCTTTGCCATAGCGAGGACAGTAGATGCCCACGATAAAACTGAACTTTAATACAGCTCTCACTGTGAAGTTGGACTAGATTTCACCGATAATACAGTATATCAGCAGGATCTTCTCGCTCGTACTGATGTTCCGTTGAAAGTGAAGCAACGACCTGTCTGTCACCGGGTTGACAGGCAGCAGTGTCCTTAACGCTGATTGGCCAATGTGTGGAGTGGGCGGGTGTTTTATAAAAATATCCACAGGTGAAACTACTTGTGACGAGGACGGAAATCACCTGTATGCGTTGGCATCTCTGACACAAATACCATGGAACTGAAAAGATAAGCTTCTGTGTTATTGACACTGACCGAGCTGGAAAAGTCTTCCTGTTAACAGAACAAAATATTCAAAATGGTGTCGCACATGTTGCCTGCTTTTGACCTGTGAAGACTTAAACATCTGAACAGAGCAATTAAGCTTACTGAATCTTAAAAACAATGTCAATGTATAACTATTGTGTCTTTCAAAAGAAAAGCTTTCGAGCAACCAATAAATAGTGCAGTGTCTCTTATCTAGAGAAAGTATGATACCACGTCATACAAGGTTAGTGGTGGTTAATTTGCTGTGAGTTGTGGTCTAAACTCAAACTGCTGAGGCTGAACAGTTAAGTTTTAATCTAGATAAGCATGACACTGACTGTGAACCTTTGATTCAAAATCTTTGCAAAGGGGGAGAATTTTGATATTAGGTGATAGTGGTTAATATCACCTCCTTTATACAGTGGCAAAGGCTCAGCAGCTGTCCACACAGCTGGAAAGTCACCTACAGTGATGTTATAGCCTATTGAATGTGAATGATGAAGTTCAACAGGAAATTAAAGGATCAGGTGGAACATGAGGATCTAGATGGTACATAAATATAATGCTGATTTTCATAACTTGCAACTTCATTGTTCATACTACTGAATAAGTGAGAGGCCTAAAGGATTTTATGGGATTTAAGGCAAGAGGTAGGTAGGGATAGGGCACCATCTGCTGGCTCTGATTTGTTGTCAGTGTTCAGCCCATCAAATACACTAAAATTAAAGTCTATTTCAACAGTCCTGCAATAAATCCAATCTGTAACCTGTCCAATTACTATCTTTTTTAAATTCTGGCTTTCCCAACACAGACTACTACTGCACAGTGATCCCTGACATTATGTGTGTCTATCTGGATCAGCCATCATCTGGGACATAAACAAACTCTGTAGTAATCTGTTCTCCACAGCTTCCTGGAAAGATTATTTTAAAACAGGAGCACACATCCCAGTATCCAATAGGATGGTTGTTGGGTCAAAAAAAATCTCACAGTAGTTTTAATTTTTCATAAACCATAAAACAATAGAAACAAAGTTTTACAAAACAGTTCTAACTGAAGATCCACCTAGCAGCTGTTTCTTGTGATTTCAACCATAACACAAAGTCTTCATCATTGGATGGAGTTTGCTCAAGTTAAATTTAAAACTTCATTCTAGACCTTGGAAATAGTAGCTGATTATTATTAATGCTAATACTATGGATTACTTATTTATTTGTTACCACTATAAAGACCACGTGAAAGCGAATAAGTGGAGCCTGAGTTTGGATTGTTTTGTCAAGCTACTACTGTTTCCAAGGTCAAGAGTGAACTCTGACAAAATAATAAAATAATAATTTATTGAAATAGAAAAACCTTTAACTGTGTTCAACTGCAGTCTTGGGCAGGATATTATGTGGGATAATGAAAAGCAACTAAAAACGTTTAATTTTCCATTTTAGAGGCCAAATAATCAGCAATTCATCAATAATCAATGTCTCTTATTATACAGTATTATAGATATGACAGCTTTGGAGCCTAGGATGTCAGGTTATTACATTTCTACAGAGAGCAAGTCATAATGGCAGGGATCTGTCACATTATTACGCTTTAACTTGCTGTACCTGAAGATACGTACCGCTATCACGTGACAGTGTAGTGTTACCGTAACTCCGTCTCTCAGCGACTCTGCTCTTCCTGCGCAATATGCGCATTGTCTCCTGTCATCTTGGCATATCTCCCTGGTCAGAGCAGGGGTAGTATTTTCCTTCAGCACCGCAGTCTCGGAGAGGTGATTGTATCTAACAATGGGGAACAGAGACGACGAATACGATTTCTTGTTCAAAGGTAAGCGGAGGAGAAACTGACTTGTGAATAACCTTGTTTGATGATATCCAGCAGGGAAACTGGTTAGGCTCAGGCTAGCATGCTAATGTTAGCTGCGTTAACGTCAGTGGTCAGGTTAATATCAGCTGGTGGCAGCTAACTGTAGCTAGCCCAACTATTTTCTTAGCCTGGGCAACTTTTTAGGCTCATTCTTTCTAAATAACACCATATTTATGTTTACCTTAGGGCCTATTGCCGCTTTTATTTGTGTCAAAGTTTGTTGCAAACCATGTGTTTCGCTACATAGATTTTACAGAGAGGAGGGCGTATGGCGAGGTAGCCCTGCAGGCTAGTAGCTAATCTAACGGGTGGAGCTGTTACTTTTGCAATAAGTAAATTCAACTTTTCTGTCATCGACGAGATGTTACCGTGTCCTTACCTTGCTATAACCATACTTAAAACTTAACCATCCAAATAGCACAAAAATTGGTCCACTTTCTGAAGCCGCTCCCATGAAATCAGTTAAATTTAATGGAAAAAGGAAACAGGAGTTCCCTTTGTGGTAGAGTTGCCACTCAGCGGTCTGTCCCTTGAGGGAGAAAACTCGCTCTATATGTAAGGACTGAAGAGCAGACAGCACAGGCACAGTGGGCTCCAAAGGCGTGCGACCACTTTCTCATTAGGAAAAGTACTATTTTGTTTCTGATGGCCATACCAATCAATTTTAATGTACGTACCGGATCACTGAGTCATTATTCACATGGTCCTTTTACACCTTGGAGTTCAGTTTCCTGATAACATGCTGCTGACTTTGCTGAATAAAAATCAGCTTGTTATTGTGTCACTATGTTGAAGCACTCAGAAATCACATGATGGAGTCTAACTAAGTTTTATTGCTCTGATGTCTTAAATCAGAAAAGATGGAGTTCTACTTAATACTGATATAAAAGCGAGCTTTAGTTACATTAAGCACTGTAATTAAGATTATTTTACTGTACTTCACACCAACTGTTATTTCATTGCAAAGCATCGACTGAAATGTGGATGCAGGGATTTTAATACTTGGGGAATTTATGGAAGAAGAAACAGAGACATAAGCTTTGTCACATCTGTCTAGTAGAGTACAGTAGAAAAAGAGGCTTTGGTCTAGTGTGGCTGCTGGAAATTGATTGGAGGGTAGTGATGACTCGTAACGACGACACAGGAACAAGAGGCCTTGAGAAACTGTTGAGTCAGATTTCCCAGAGAGCAGGCACTACTCCCAACAGGACAAAGTCAGAACAAGTCTGCGCTTTCACTTTGACTGAGGAGGTAATGACTGAATGGTAACCTGACTGCAGTGAATCCTATAATTAGTTGTTTGATACATTTTGTGTAATTGACAACATCAGTGTTTGTAATACTGCAGTTGAAAATCATCCAGTTAAATAAATGTGGTATGTTGATGTCAGTTTCTGTGCACTTTAAAATAAATTTTAAAAAGAGGAAAATAACCAGCTGCAGTAGCAATGGATGAGGCAAATGGAAGTGAACATGGGAGGAGTAAAAAGTTGCCGCACATAATCACAAAATAACTGCTGGAATGATTGAAATGTGAAAGCCACATTTTCCTTGAATCCTTGCCTGGTAAGAGTTTAAATTTCAGTTTTTGTTTTCCCTCTAGTTGTACTAATCGGAGACTCTGGAGTGGGGAAGAGTAACCTGCTGTCCCGTTTCACAAGAAATGAGTTCAACCTGGAGAGCAAGAGCACCATCGGTGTGGAGTTTGCCACCCGCAGCATCCAGGTGGACGGCAAGACGATAAAGGCTCAAATATGGGACACAGCTGGACAGGAACGCTACAGAGCAATCACTTCAGCGTGAGTTTGTGTTTTTTAAGTGTTTATACAAGTGTATATTGTGCAGGGAAAAACAACATTAGAGTTGATGTACTCGTCTTGTTTTATTCGGTAACCAGGTATTACCGAGGTGCAGTAGGAGCCCTCCTGGTTTACGACATCGCCAAGCACCTGACGTATGAGAACGTAGAACGCTGGCTGAAGGAGCTGAGGGACCACGCTGACAACAACATTGTCATCATGCTGGTTGGAAACAAGAGCGACCTCCGCCACCTCAGGGCAGTGCCCACTGATGAGGCTCGAGCCTTTGCAGGTAAATAAAACGAGGGCGGCAGTAATACAAACAAGGGAAGCCACTTTGTACATGTTTAAAATGTACCTTTCTTCTCTTCCCACTTTAGAAAAGAACACTCTCTCATTTATTGAGACATCAGCGTTGGACTCCACAAATGTAGAAGAAGCCTTTAAGAACATTTTAACAGGTAAGAAAAGCAAGACCCAGTGCATGACAGGTAATACAGGAAAAAAAATAGTACAATGATGGATATGACCATGATACATTTAAGTTGTACAGTTAGATTGTTTAGCCATTTCGCTGCACAATTCTATTTCCCCTTCTAATGTGACAGCTGCACATCCAGTTATATACGTTTTAAGGAGTTTAAACAAATGAAATGCATCATAATATTCTTTTTTTTTTCTTCTTGGATTTCCCTCTGCAGAAATCTACCGCATCGTGTCACAGAAGCAGATAGCAGACAGATCTGCACACGATGAGTCTCCAGGCAACAATGTAGTGGACATTAGTGTCCCACCAACCACTGACGGGCAGAAGGGCAACAAACTCCAGTGCTGCCAGAGCCTGTGACACTCAACCCCATGACACTCATCCTCTCCTCCACATCCACCTTGACATCACATCACCTGTGCACTTTCTATTCCCGTAGCTCTGCTCACGGCCAACTCCTCCTTCACTCTATACTTTGTTTCTTTCTACCTTTCATTCTGTTTTATATAATACTTTTGAACTCACTCGTGCTCTTCTCTTCTGCCATGAATGAAAACAAGAAGCCTTTATGTCACTTGGTTAGTCGAGTTGTTCATGGAGTCAATGTGAAGGTTCCTGCAATGCAGGAACGAGGCAGCTGTCGCTGTCATAATGAAGCCTATGAAGTTGTTTGAACTCTACTGAAACGCTGTCATGCACAGGGAGGTTGTGACATACATTTCAACGGTTACCACTAGATGGTGCTGCTTAAATTAACCACAGGCAGTTACTCCAACCCAGTGAAGCAGTATTATGCCTTTTGACAGTGTGGTTCTTACATTCTTCTTACATCAGTTAAGTTATGCCAAAAATATCCTCATTAGGTATTTATTGAAGAATATTTGGCTTAAGTTGTCATTGTTTTACTTTCAGTTTAAGAACTGTAAAAATTTACAATAAAATTCTTGACAAAAGTTGTGTGTTGTATTAATATATTCTCCATTTGAGGTACTTGGATCATAATTGAGTACCTCAATTTCTTGGTATTCATTATCCATACTCCACTACATGTAAGAGGTAAATATTGTACTTTTTACTGTGCTACAGTTATCTTACATCTATAGATACTTTTTAGATTAAGATTTTACATGTAAAACATGATGAATTTATAGAGCATGCTGCAGTGTTAGAGTAACCAGACCATTACCATATAAAGTTGGCTCAACCTTGACAGGAATAAAATGCTGCTTACATGTTCATGCATCAGTAATGATAATCAAATAATTAACATTAGAAATATAATATTTCGAATTAGGCTATTCAGCATACTGAATACTTTTGATTTTTTAAGAACCTTTAGCTCATAACAGTTATATATTTTTACTTAACATAAGATTTTGAATGCAGTGTTCTTCTTTATAGTATTGTCATACTGTGGTATTGCTACTTTAAGTAAAAAAAGCTCAGTACTTTTTTCCATTACTGTGAAGTTGGGGTGAGCATTTTGGTTAAGAAGTGAAGAGGCGAGTTGTCTAGATAACTGCCAAATAAAAAAAAAAAAAGAAATTGTAAATGTCATTAAATTTGGAACATGATTGAGTAATTCCCGAGCCAGCATGATGGCACTAATTTCAAGGTTATGGTGCAGTACACAAAAGGTTTACAAGTGTAGGCAACATAGGTAAGTAGACAGGCTGAACCTGTCCTCATTCAAATCACCAATCCAATCAAGACCCACTGGAAGCATCCCAGCATTTCTAGTGTTTTTTTTTGTTGTTGTTTTTTTGTTTTCTGTGAGTCTGCCTCCTTCCTGGAGGGCAGAGACTGACATTAATAATGTTTTTCTAACTAAGCTGCTTACATTTGCCAAATGCAGTGAATAGGACGAGGAGACTGTGACTCTCCAGAGATACAGTAGCAAAACTTGACACCAGCGGTTATTTTTCCTCAGGATTAAGAGCTACAAAGAGCCGTGGTCAAAAACAGACTTACAGTAATGACGTCTCATCCTCACTGGGCTAAGAGGATGATCTGGAAACAGCTATATTATACGAATCACATCATCTACACTGTAATGGTGAAGCTATCTAAACAAAACAAATCAACTGAATTAATGTTCAGCCATAATTTGTCAACATTTTTTTTATTTTTTTTTATTTGCTTTGCAAACGATTCTTGGCTGATTGCAGGTACCAGGATTTTGGTGACGACATCTTTCTTTTTTTTTTCCCCACAGCACACCATACACATCATAGTATTTAAAATGTGAATACTTGAAGAATTGCAACAAATGACACATATTAACATACCCTACATGTCCAAAGAAGACATGTAGAATTAAAAGATTACAAAAATGTTATTTAACATAACACAACATAAGTAACATCTACATGTTCATTTGTGAAATAAACAAAGAAAACAATGATTTAAAATCCATTTCTTGGTTTGAATTGTGGAATATGTATAAAGTAATTATAACATTATGGTAGATGTCTCATGAAACACGAAATGTTTCATGTAGCTCTGATAACTGGCATGGATAGGCAGGTAGCTAAAGAAGGAGCAGTGTTGCATAATTCGTGGGCGTGTACTTCCAATACAATACAAACTATCAAAATACATTAACTTAGAAATTCAGCTGTTTCTTGTTTTCAAGCAATTTTGAATTACTGCACCTCTTTACATTGCTTCAAATCAGTGCACCAATAGATCCCAATACTCGAGTAAAGCCTTGTTCATGACAAACAGTAAACACACGGATGATCAAATGACTCATAAGCTTGTAAGGCAGATGAGCCCCCGGGTGCATCGAAGTATTGCAGGATTTAATCCTTTGTTCTTAGATCAGTTAAAAACAACAAACAAACGATTAACAGGGGCGGTATGTGGGACAACCCACCGTGAGCTAAATGTTCCAAAGTGTAATGTTAGTGTAGACAGGAGGCCAGGGCTATGAAATAACTCAACAGACACTGGTCACTGGAAATTCTACACTGTCAAACAGATGTGGTGTCAATTTCCCACCAAACAACACTACTGAGTTGCACCCTGTTCCTGTTGCTAATGTTGCACAACCGCCACAAGCAGCCACTAAACTTCTAATGTAATTTCCGATCACAAGGTTTCTCAAGTATGGCAATCAACGCAGTGGATGAGGAAAAAGAAACCTGTTTATGCTTACTGACAGTCAAGAAGAAAAAGAAAAAGGTGATTGAAATGGTCTGGCTCTCCTCCTCTTTACACATTTTGTTTGTGACATGGAGGTAATGCTTGAGAGCACATCTGTCTGTTTGTGACTTCACCACACTATACACCAGTTTAAGTAAAATATTGTTCAAGCCTGATTGTTATTAAGTTACTACAGATGAGTGACTAGTTAAAAGGAAAAACCTGAAAAATGCATAGTCTCTTCCAGGATGACAATGGCCCCATCCAAAGGGGATGAGGGATCACTGAATGCTTTGATGAGTATGAAAATGATGCGAGTCAGATGCTATGGCCTTCATAGTCACCAGATCTCAACCCAGCTGAACACCAATGAGAGATTTTGGACTGACAACACCTCACTAAGAAACTTTATGATGTTTTTTCCTTTAATTTGTCTCCCTTCTGTATTTTAAATAAAAAGGTATTATCAAGTGAACAACTGTGAATAAAATACAGACTTTTGGGCTTTTGCAGCTACAAAATGGATCCATCTTGTAGAGAATAAATAAAAAGCGGAAGTATAGAAATAGGAAGAACAAACCATGATCAAAGTATGACAATCAAAAAGTAAAATAAAGTGACAAAGCTATAAATTTCAAGAACAAAACTCGGAAGCAAATGATTTTTTTTTTTAAATTAAAATTGAGTTTGTAATAATAAAATTAATTTTTTCACCATCAGATTAAAAGGTTGCTCCCTTGCTCCCAATGCCACTTGTGCAGTACACCTCAGGTATTTTTAATTGCATCCCACAGAATTGCACACCTATAATAATCCCAACAATACTGAACTCTGGGTTTATCACCTGCATGACCTCTGAAAGGATAATGGTGTTGTATTTTTAAAGCCAGTGTGTTTGAGTCTGAGCCTTCATCAGGGCCATAGACTGAATTATGTTGGTGTTAACATTGTTCTCAGTATAACAAGTGTTGCTGAGGTTTTTAATCTTCATCCTTCTCACTCTGTGGATAACCCACCGTGTGTTCAAGAGGCAATTAACCGTCTCCTCATAACCCAAATTAAATGGAATGAAGCAATAAACCATGTTCAAAAGTGACATGAAGTCTGGAAACCAGACAGACTCTGTGGTCTGTGTTTTTCTGCCTCTTTAATCAGAGAAGATCATCTCTGACTGGTCAATTAACAGCCACTATAAGTGACTTGATTACAAACTGCACCCAACTATTTACAAGAGAGAGAAGTGAATTCTCTGTACTCTCCCAAACTGCTAACACAGCTGATTCTGGTCGGTAACATCACAACGTAACGAGGGAAAGTTGGCACCTCCGAAAAAGACGACATTCATCAAATGGACTTAGAAGAGCACGTGGCCTGCTTGAAAGAAAATACAAAACAAAGCTAAAGTCAGATTTGGCCTTAGTGGTGCTTGCATAATGTATCCACCATGAAAGTCATTTTTGGCGGGTTACACTTTTGTTAGACTGGCAGAAGCACTAAACATCCCCTCCTGAGAAACTATGTTTAACGATGACTTGAATGATACAAGCTGGCAAGAAGTTTCTATATCCCTGATTGTTGTGACCATGGAAACTACACACATATAGCAATGTGTATTGCTTTAAAAAAAACAAACTAAAAAAAACAACAAAAAACGAAAGAAATGGCTACTAATTAAGTACTTCAACAGGCCATTAAAAAGGATGTTTAAGTACATGGTATCAGCCACCGAACAACAGTTATGGAAATGTTCCTCTAAAAGCCATTTTGATGTTTCCTATCGATCTATATAAATATAAAGACCTACTTGTTAAGTGCTGATAATACAAGAACCTCTATGAGGACACTGTTAAACCCTACTTCAGTAGGAATAGTAAATCTGTTCATTCTTTAGTGGTTTAAAAAATGATTTTACAATACACTTAACAGTAAAAAAAAAAAATCCCCCAAAATTACTGACAGTGGTTGCATGCTTGACTGTGCATGTTGTTAGAGGTCTCTTCATGTACTGTGATGACGTCCATGTCCACAGTGTTATATTGCACAATCTCTGGTTTTACTAATGTTACGCTGGCATCCGTTCTTGGATGAGATGTAAAAACAGGTGCAGAAAAAACACTGAAAGACGTCCAGCAGGCTTGTGCTAAACTTAAAAAGACTGATCTCAGACAGCAAACTGGCATCTGGATTGTAAAATGTAAATAATCAAAGAGCTATGCTTTAAGTGCTTGAAATAGCTCCCCAATGGGCAATGCTGTGCAGAGAATACAAGGCCAAAGAAGGTAAGTGCATGCCCAGATATGACATGTATCTAGCAGTATACACATTTTCATCAGTGCAGCACAACAATGAATCAACGTGCTACTCTGCAGTCATCTGTGTCCACTAAACAAGTAAGTTTGGTCCATCCCTTACTTCACTTTCACTGTAAGCTGTTGTTATCGTCACATCATAGATGATGAGACTGTGTCCTTGTCTCTGTAAATGTCTCTCCTCACTTTCATGTGCTGGTCCATTCTTCAGTGCCTTTGCATAAGCTTGGTCAACACCGAGCGCGACAACAGACAGACTCCATTGAAATGTGCTCAGTTTTGCACCCACACAAGGACACATTTTTAAAAAAAATGCAATGTGAAAAAAAAAAGTACTGATGGGGCAAAGAAAAAATGGAAATAAGCAACAAAAAAAAGCCCACAAGTGCTTCTTTAAAGTCTTGCTGGCTGGCATGATGCGCTGAGAATCAGCCCCCACACAGAAAAGACACTGTTCATCACCATCATTTGGTCTCATACTATACTCTCATTGGCAGGCTTCTTCATCAGTTTCGTAGAGAGCAAAGAATGCTGGGAAGAGTTAGACTCCTTGGCTTCAGGAATGAGCAGACGTACTTTCTGGTTAGTTCTTCTCCACTCAGAGTACAGCTGACAGTGGTAGCGGAAAGATACCTGCAGAGACAACCAGGTAGGAGAAGAGGATGAGAGGGCATGAATTACTTCAATGTACTTTAAAAAGGGCTGCATTACAGTAAAGCCACAGCCTAATGTATGTGAATTTATTTTTACCAGAGTCCAGAGAACATAGATGGTGAAGAGGGCAATGGTGAGGGCTATGAGGCCCACGGCCTGCAGCCAGCTCCCCAGTTGAAGGTGGTCCTGAGCGCCCCTCAGGCACAGCCAGCCTGAAATGGCTGCTAGGGGCGTAATGAACAGGAAGCACACCATGTCACAGAACAGCGTCCTCTTCTCATTACGAGGCCCGGGGTCCCGCAGCCACTGTGGGAAGTGAAAGAAAGGCAATAGAGAGAAAGGGGGAAGAAAGGGGAAAAACAGATCTTAAGTCATTCAAGAAAAGAAAAGACTCACTATGATAAAACAGCAAGCAAGCAGAAAGTAGAGATGTTAAAAAAAGAAAAGCCTCTTTACATTTACATATGCACAATCATTCACACAATGAAGCCCTGCCAATGAGAATAACAAGGGCAAGAAAAAAGATTGATGCAGACAAGGCAAAGTGCATTGACCTTTGTTACCTCTGTGAGAGGCCTTGGTCGGCGCTCAATGCTGAACTCTGTGTGGCAGAGCTCACAGTAGCTGGTGTTGGAAGACGACAGCCACTTCTCCAAGCAGCTCTTGTGCACTGCGCCCAAGGTGCCTGTGCAGTCACAAGGGGACAGGAGACCCTCACTGTTGCCTCCTTCATGGCAAATACGACAGATGGGACCATCACTGTGACAAAATTTAAAAAAAAAAATTACTAAAATGCTGAAGGGGAATCCCCACACAGCAAAGACACTCAACCCTACACCAGTTGAAAGTTAAAGTTTCTGAAAGAGGAAATCCCAGCACTGCATTTTGTGTCTGATTCATCAGGCTCTGATTAATCAGTATAGGGAACCAGAATCACATGATCACAAGCTCCAAATATATGATTGTGTAGTGAAACTAGGTGATAATCTCATTACTAAT